TAAATTTTGATCTGCGTTGCGATGGTGGACTATTCTCTCCTGATCCGACGGTAGTATGGGCACTGGTGCACATTTGGGATTGTGCGGCAGTGGTGTGTGGGCCGACAACATGAAGAAAGTGCAAAGTGACTACACACGACAATGATTATTGGGCACGCGACACATGCAGTTTTCAGCCAGAGCCACCTTTATTTATTTATTATTTTTTTTTTTTAGGCTCACGGTGCGAGCGGTATCGTGGGATTGTCTGGGACCATTTAGGGACCAAGTGGGTCTGGTTTTGAGATCAGGGCCAACACGTTAGTGTTGTTATTGTGAGCGAGCATGGTGATTGGAGGCATCATGGACTTGTGATTGGTTGGGGGGACATTTTTGGTGAAGTGCAATTGGGACTGTGTTGGGACGTTTGGGACCGGTCTAAGCAGAGATCAGTTTGGGATACTGGGATCACATGGAAACTCATTTGTGAGGACACCCTCCTAGAGGGATACCTCGCTTGAGTTATGTTGTGGCCCAACCTCTGCTTATTTGAGCATTTGGAGGAGACGTGGTTTTGTGGAACGGTTACGAGTTGTGGAGTTGTGGCCTCGTAGTTTGAACTTCAACGACGATTAACTTTTAGCTGATTAGAGTATTATTTGACTTTCTTGAGTGAGCCAGATCAGACTTCACTCAAGGTCAGTTTGTTGATTGACTCAGATTTCCCTTCACACTTGTGTGAGCCTACACTTTGCTTGACCCTATTTGTTTTGAATGTTCGAAATAAAAGGCAGAGGAAAGTTGTGTGAGTCATGCATGTGAATGGAATGTCTGACTTTGGGTATGGGTTTATGCTTGTTTTTCCCAAACTTGTTTGTTTTGCTTTGCGGTCTGTACAAGTAGGTAGAAGGATGCTTGCAAAGGAGATTGATTTCGCCTATTGGAGAAAAGGAAAAGGATTGTTTTCTTTCTACTCACCTCCGCCTGGTTATCAAAAGGGCGCGTGTTTCGAAAGCGGTTAATCCAATGTGCGTCGAAAAGAATTGGATTAAAAAAAAAAAAAAAAGACAATATTAAATTGGACTTTTTCCCAAGGATAGACCGCTCTATCCCAAATGACCTTATCTACCTGTACCTGTCCAAATGATTCCCATTCTCCATCTCCTTCCATTGCTTTTCATCCAAATTATCCTGAACTTAGGAGAAATGAGAAAATCTTTTTTTGTCTAGGATGCCTTGAACTTGTAAAAAAAATGTTGAGAATAATTAAAACTTACTTGTGGTAGATACATTCTCTTTCTCCAGGAAGCATCTAGGGCGGGGGTTCGTTGCTTTAGCCGACCCTGTTATCGACCCAGAGTGGACCGATCTATAGGAGGGGGGTACTTTGCCGATTCGGTGGAGACGGCCCGACTTCTGAGATCCGAGTCTTGTGCTCGGGCGAGGAGGAGGAGTATCCCAGACCACTTCCTAGAGGGAGAGACATGCAACACTTCAAGCAATGCACCTGATCAAGAATTAGTCGCAAAACAGCCTGTCATCCAAGAAGATTGGAAATGTGTGGAGTCAGGTGTGCGTGCCTAATCTTAGGTCGGCGATAGGTGGAATGAATGACTTTGGCAACGCATTTCATCAAGTCAAAACTGAGGCAGACGGACTACCTTGTCGGCTTGGATTTTATTTTTGTCTTGTGTTATTGGATGTACTATATGATGATTCAAATTCTTTTAATTATCATTTCAGATTGGATATACTTTCCTATCGACTACGGTCGATTCTTTTTGGATGTAATTATGTATGGTTATTATAACTTTCTTTTGACTGGCGTCTGAAGGGACTAGGATAAATTTTGGGTTTCACGCTTGGTTGAGACCGTCCTTGTCGACTGGCGTCCGCTTTGTACTTAGGAGATCAGCGCCCTAAGGGACGGACGACGCTCAGGTCCACTTGGCGTTTAACCAAGCGTATCTATACTACAGCGAACGAGCAAACACCCTCGATTGACCTACCTCTGCGATTGCATCTAGTAGCTCTCGCATGTGGGTCAGTAGCTTGGTAGGGATACACCCCTAAGGGTGGTGATAGCCCCTTCGGGAAGGCAAGATGTGCCCTACGGGAACCTATCTTGTCGTAGGGGACCGCGGGATGTACAGTTGTGCACCCGGCTAGAGCGGCGAAGGGACGACACGACCGCGGTCGTCTCGGAGGCTCGTGGGATTATTTATGCGCCATCCCCAAGTTGTCTCTTTGTTTTGTTTTTGTTTTACTTATATGTGACATGTTCGGGAGGGCTCCCGGACCTTGCAAAAAGGCGGGAGCCGATGTGCTCGACAACGCGAGACCCGACTTTTCCTTTAGTAGTATGTAGATAGATGTTATGACACAATTGGTCATTTTGGGTACAGAAAGATCTCAGTTAACTTTGTACAAAGATTTTGTGGCCCACTATGCTGCAAGATGCAAAGAAGTACGTTGAAACTTGCGAGGTTTGTCAGAGGGACAAGCCTAGGTAGGACTAAGGCTCTGCTCGGGCTCATCAAGCCTTTGCCTATTCCTGAAGGTCCCTATCCAAGTGTATCCATGGACTTCATGGACACTCTTGTGACCAACAAGAGCGGAAAAAGACACATCTTCGTCATAGTGGACCGGTTCACTAAGTTTGCTAGATTAATCGCTATGCCAGAAACAACGAAGACTGACTATGTCATCAAGTTGTTTATGGATGACTGGGTACAAGACTTTGGTCAACCAAAGTTCATCGTTAGTGAAAGAGGTGTTCGCTTCACCAGCGAGTTGTCACAAAGTACAGCCCAACAGATGGCACCCAAATGCAAGCTGAAAAGATGAACCGAGTAGTACATCACTTACTTCGACATTATATCAAACCGAGTCCGGAAGATTGAGACGAGAAATTGCCTCTTATCACCTGTCTCTATAACAATGCAGAACACAGTGTTGTAGGACTAACTCCCAACAAACTGCACATTGGTTGGAAACCCAGATCTGTTTTGAACTTCCTTCTGCCTGAGAATCAGCCAACTGCAGCGCCAGGTAGTATAGAATTTGCCATCGAATGCGAACAGTTGCGGCAGCAGGCCGTTGAGCACATAAAAAAGTCTCAAGATGCTATGATTACATATGAGAACAAACATACACGGCCTTCAGCATTCTAGATAGGTGACAGAGTCTGGGTCAAGTCATCTGAAGTAGGCCAGGAGTTGGGTATCTCATGTAAATTGATGCCACAATACTTTGGCCCATGGGAGGTCCTAGACATAGGCGGGAATCAAATTGGACCCTCTCATGTGATACGTATCCCTGCTCACTTACGCACACGCCCAGTCTTTCATTCCTCAAATTTGGCACCTTTCGCTGAAACCACCCAGTTTCCCAGTTTCCTTCCAGACGCTCTATGCTGCCCCCAACCATGGACGGACATGTGGCCATTGATGACATTGTTAAGCACAAACTGATGCCTCTGCCCAAGCCTCTAGGCAGAGGACGTCCGCCGAAGCCACAGATGCAGTACTGGGTGTGGCTCAAACATCGCACTGATCCTCAAGAAGATTGGTGGTTCACAAGAGAAAAATTAATGAAGACTGCTCCCCAAATTATTTTAAGTTATGAAAGAAATTTGAAAGGGAAGCAGTCTGCTACAAATCAACTTTTCAGAGGACTATCGAAGTAAAGGAGGAGGGAGTGTGAGGGTTTGACCCCTTGATATATGGCCCTGCATCAGGCGCATGCCCGCCCTAAGTGAAGGTGGCCCCCCTGAATTTGAATGCGCCCTGAACTCGACAATTTTTGCAAATCTTGGTCGGCGCCAGACAGTTGCCACGCGCCAATTGGTTACATCCGCGCAACACGTGAGAATGGGAAAGATTCTTGAGCCTTCCAGGTCATTCTCAACGTGGCCAAAGCAGGGGACATCGCACGTTTGTGCCTGGGTGGTTGGGCATGCCTAACCAATTCGGTCCCAGACCACTGTCTGAACGGGCCTGGGCGCAGACACTTTGGCCAAGACTAAAGCTACTGGAAACTCGGTCCCACGTAATCGTGGCCAGGCAAAGTGTCTGCCACTTTCCATATAGGAAAGGGCCGGGCGCCAAGGAGGGGATTCAGGTACTTCCAAGTTTTGCGGCAGTGCTGCTTGAGCGTGCGCTCGTGGGCTGCTGTCTGCGCAGGGCAAAGTGTTCGCACATGTGCGGCCGTGTGAGGCAAGGCACTGCTGTGGGCTTGGGTCACAGCAAGGGGTAGTGGTGGTCTTCGTGCATGAGGGAGAAGACGTGGGTAGATAAGAGAGAGAGAGAGAGAGAGAGAGAGAGAGAGAGAGAGAGAGAGAGAGAGAGAGAGAGAGAGAGAGAGAGAGAGAGAGAGAGAGAGANGAGAGAGAGAGAGAGAGAGAGAGAGAGAGAGAGAGAGAGAGAGAGAGAGAGAGAGAGATGAGGATGATGATGTGAGGGCATGTACCTGGTCCTGGCGATTGTCTACAAGGATCGACATCTTCATGTACTTCGGTTCTGCTATTGACGTCAACAGTGGCATTATCAACTTGTAGGCTGGTAGTAGCTGCGTGATAGTAGTTTGGGCGCCGAGCGCGAAGTAGGAGAAGGGCTCTGGATACTTACGTTGGTGATGGTGAGAGTATGCTCTCATTAACACTTGGATTCAGTGTTTTGGTTCTCCATTGGTGTAATATCGGTGCAATTTTGCTTTCTGTTCAGTGTCGGATTTTCTGGCTTTCAATGTGATTTTGCAATCTGGAATATGTCATTTCACTATTCCTCATTTTCCATGCATTTTTTTTCTTCCGTTTTTTTGGTAAAAAGGGCACTGCCCTAACCTTATTGTAATCATCTGATTCAATCAGGACATGAACCGATGATTTGTTTATTGTCACAAGGACATGTGTGTGTAGTAGCGTACCATTGGTCGGCACGAGTTGGGGTTGTAGCACAATTTTTGATTTTTGATTGCTTATTCATTTCCATTGTCTGTGTGCTTTGAATGAATGGCTGCAGGATCTTTTCACCAGATTTCCCCTGTGAGTCCATGCATGGCGACAAACATCGCCATTTCTTCTACCGATGTGAGCATGACATCTGGATGGTTCTGGTGAGATGGCACACATAGGCAAACGATGTTGATCCCTGCTTTGCTGTCCTTTTGCTTTCCATGTTTGACTTAATGCACTCGAGCTGGGAGTTGGTGAGCGCGAGTGGGCACTCGAGTTTTTTGCCTTTCAGAATTAGCATTCCAATACTTTTGGGACAACAAGCATGAGCACGTGAGGTATCTTTTTGCATGACAAGCATCCTAACACGCTGATGATGGATGTAGTAACACTTGCTCATGGTGGGAGGGTTGGGACACAACAAAGATTTGCTTCTTTGCTGCTGCCAAAAATCACCAAGGCCTATGACTGATTGGAGCGAAGTGTGGGAGAATTGTTGTGTCTGTGTGGTGCGTTCGTGTGGTGTTGTGTTTGGTGTTGTGTGTCGTGTGCGTAGAGTTGGACACTACAACCTTCTAGGGGTGGTGTGAATATCACGACCGGTATGGTTCCACCTTTGAACACCGTATCCTTGCTGTAGTGGTTAAGGGACTTAGCTCTTGACACCGAGGTCGCCGGTTCGTATCCATGCTTGCACGGAGGAGGGCCTTGGGCCCGGTTCGTATCCTACTGTGGAAACTCCCGTGAACCTGCTCGGGGAATTGATTGGAGTGAAGTGTGGGAGAATTGCCGTGTCTGTTTGGTGCGTCCGGTTTGGTGTTGTGTTTGGTGTTGTGTGTCGTGTGCATAGAGTTGGACACTACACCCTTGCAGGGGTAAAGTGGATATCACGACCGGTATGGTTCCACTTTTGAACACCGTATCCTGGCTGTAGTGGTTAAGAGACTTAGTTAGCTCTTGAGGCCGAGGTCGCCGGTTCGAATCCATGCTTGCACGGAGGAGGGCCTTGGGCCCGGTTTGTATCCTACTGTGGAGACTCCCGTGAACCTGCTCGGGGAACTCCCTAGTGTGAAATCTCAACTACTCGAGGAGATGAGTCAGATGCGTACCCAAATGGCTGAACCGGCCAGACTCGGGAGGAAAAGGCGGAAGAGGCAAAGCGGAAAACAGCCGTTGATGAACTTGAGGCCATTTTCAAAATGGTTCCAAATGTATCTGATGCAGACCTTGAAAGAGATCTGGCTGTGTATGTACGTGCACTCATGAATTACCATTTGCTCGGGGAACTCCCGAGTGTGAAATCTCAACTATTCGAGGAGATGAGTCAGATGCTTACCCAAATGGCTGAAATGGCCAGAGAGCATCGCGACTAGTTACAGCAAATGACAAGCTTGCATCAGGCCCAAACCTCAAGTTCTCTTCCCCGTTCTACCTTTGCACCCCTCAGTTCCTCTCCTTCTTCACAGTCTTCTTCGTTGAGTTTGGTAATTCAGTCAGGACCTGCGACTGGTGCAGTTCCCACTGCCGCTACAAGCGGCAACGCAAGAAGTTCTGCAACTACTGCAGCCCAGGGATTGGATCCAACAGCAATAGTTGGACCCAACTATGGCAGTCCATACATTGACAGAAAGGCGGTGATGATACCGTTTAGATTTGACGGCAAGGAGGACGTGGAGTCCTGGATCAGCTCCATGAGAGCCTACTTTGAGGTTCAGGGCTCTCAAAGAGTGAACCAGTCCTTGATCCTGGGGACGAACGTCGAGCCTGTGGTAAGGGGATTCCTTGAAGTCCAAGCCATGCAAGCTGGGTACTCCAAGATCAACCTATCCAAGTGGCTTAAAGTCACCCCGGTTACCACTCTCGAGGACATACTAGTAGCACAATATAAAGACCCACATGCTGCACCAAGAGTGAGGATACAATTGGATGAGCTTAAGCGCAACAAGTGGTAGGGAACCATGCACAAACTGCAATTGCATGCCAGCAAGCTCTTTGCAACATCAGGATTGGAGCTGACTGCGCAGTCGTGTTTGGATGTAGTCAAAGGTATGGTTCCCACTCACTTAAACAATCGCTCAAGCAGCGATTTCTTCGGTTACACTGACTGGTTCTCACTTAACCAATCGCTTAAGCAGGGATTTCTTCGGTTACACTGACTGGTTCCTTGATGAAGGATGTAGTCAGTCTGGAGGCAGGAGATCTCCTTACCGCAGCAAGTAGCAAAAAGACCTTTGTTCGCGGGCGATTTCGTGGCAGCAATCGCTTAGCCTCGCTTGACTTGCTGGAAGGGGAAGGGGAGGCTGAAGCCCCCACTCGTGGCGACGACCAAGAGGACGCTGATACAACGTGCTCTTCAACTCAAGAATTTGACATGAACATTGAAGGTAGCAAGTTTTGTGCCTTTAAAAAGATTGCCCATGGGAAGGGAAACCAGAACCGGAATTCAGTAAGGAGCTTTAGCGGACTTCCAAAGGGAGCCAAAATCGCAGCCAAACCGGAGGATGCAAGTACTAAACCTTGGGTGAACCTTTGGATCAGTGAGGCTGAATGGAAGGCTAAAATGAAGAAATAGGGTTGCCTGCACTGCCTGAAAACAAACCATAAAGTGCAAGATTGCTACAGGCTGAAGGGAAACGAGAATTGGGCGTAGAGTTGGCATCAACACCCTATATAGCAAGGGGGACTGAATCTGATGCAGTTCAACAGTCCTCTCTTGAAGGCCCCTCGTCTGCTGATTCCAAGGCGGAAGTTTGTCATGATTTGTATGTTGAGCCTTGGGAGGAGTATGAGACGGTTGACTTCCATTATCACTTAGAGCATTGGGTTGAGATGAAACATCAGCGTGCTCAAGGGTCAGTGAAGTTAACCTTCTTCAAGCTTCTCATAGAGCACCGCTATCTCCGTGTCTTGATTGATTGTGGTGCAACAACTAGTTTCACCATACGGGATATGCAAAGTGGGCTTGGGAATGAAGCAAGTGGCTTTGCAAAACCCTTGTCGGACTCAAGTAGGCAACAACAAAGTTGTCTCATCTACACATGCAGTCAAAGGCGTGTGCACTACCTTTCATAAGGACAAGACAGTCACCCACGCATTGAACTCCTATGTCCTTGACAAGTGCCCTTTCGACGTTGTCCTTGGCTTGGGCTGTGAATGGACCACGTGGAAGGAACCACTTTTCATGGTCAAAGATGCTCAAGGGAACGAGCTTCCCGTCCTCTTGGATGAGAAGCACGAGTCCCCAGTGACTTTTCTCAATGCCATGCAATTCTGCAAAAAGTGACGCAGACACAAAGAGGACGAACAAATGTATGTTGCCTATGTTCGCCCTACTAATGTGCTATGTACTTTTGCGGCCAGTACCAATACTACTTCATCGAATGAGTCTACTTCTAGCACTTCTACTACTCTACCTTCTACTAGTCAAAATGACTCTACTTCAGATTTGGTCGCCTCCATTCATAATTTGCGACATGATCTAGGTGATCCGTTTGCTGATCCTTCGCCCCCACCAGTCCCAACAAGCATTCAAAACCTACTTGACCGGTTCTCGGAAGTTCTGGCCGAACCACGTGGAGTCCCCACGCGATCGGTCCGACTCACAATCGAGTTGGTCGAGGGTGTTGTTCCTCCAAAGGGCTGCGTATATCGAATGGGATCTGGCAACTTAGGGGAACTCGGGAAACAAATCGACGAAATGATCGACAAGGGTTGGATAAAACCTAGCGAATCTGAATTTGGTGCACCTGTTTTGTTTGTCCCTAAGAAAGGAGGCAAACTCCGTTTGTGTATTGATTATCGCGGTCTAAACCGCATGACCAGAAAGAATGCATACCCATTGCCACAAATAGATGACTTGCTTGATGCTGCCATTAGGTGCAAGGTCTTCTCCAAGATCGATCTCAAGTTTGGATACCAACAGATTGAAGTCGATCTTGCGGACCAACACAAGACTGCGTTCAAGACACGCGATGGGCTTAACGAATTGACAGTAATGCCCTTCGGCCTTACGAACGCACCAACCACCTTTCAAATCCTTATGAATAAGGTCCTCCGCGAATAGATTGGTCGGGTTTGTGGTGGGGTATCTCGATGATATTGTGATCTTCAACAAATCCATCGAGGAACACATGAAGCACCTTGAGGAAGTGTTCACCATCCTCAAGAAAACGCAACTCCATCTCAACTTAGAGAAATCTGAGTTTGGGAGGGATAGCGTCATCTATCTTGGGCACCGGTTGTTTGCTGTAGGCCTCGAGCCAGAGGCAACCAAGGTTGAGGTCATACTTGACTGGCCTCAACCCGCGAACATTCACGAACTGCGTTCTTTCCTTGGTCTCGCATCGTGCTATCGAAAGTTTGTGCCCCAATTCTCTATTGTTGCTCGCCCGTTGTCCCGACTGACAAGTAAGAATGTACCTTACACATGGGATGCAACATGTGAGACCGCATTTCAAGCCTTGAAAGAGGCCCTAGTAAGTTACCCTGTACTCCACATTGGAGATTCCAAACTAACATTCGTAGTCACTACGGATGCTAGCCAATATGGGATTGGCGCAGTGCTGCGACAAGATGATGGCGATGGCTTGCGGCCACTTAAGTACTACAGCAAACGCATGCCTAGCAAAAAGGTAGCTACTCCCACCTACATGCGCGAGCTCTATGCTTTGCGTATGGCTTTGGATCATTGGAAGCACTATCTTGTGGGACGCCACTTCAAAGTGTTCTCAGATCATGATACCTTGAAGTGGATCAAAGAGCAAAACACCTTGTCCCCCATATTGCTTCGCTGGTTCCATGAGACCGACATTTTTTATTTTGAGCTAAGACATAAAAAGGGCTGCTATAACCGAGTTGCTGATGCGTTGTCTCGCCACTCCGAGTACATGACTTGCCTTTCCTATGACCTCCGAAATAAACTAAAGGAGGAGATCGTAGAACACATCCTTGAGCAGTTGAGGACTGACCCCAGCAGTCAGCCTGATTTTCATGAATATGGAGGACTAGTTTTGCGACATTATGGAAATAACGACCGTTTGTGTGTGCCTAAGCTGCTACTTTATGTAGAAAGTGACGATTTTCCAAATAGGCCATCTACGATTCCACCTTCTATGAACGGGGGCTACGAAGTTGAGGAAATATTGGAACATGGCTATTTCTCTACAGGTGGCAGAGGACGACCTCAGAAGCAGTACAAGGTAAAGTCCAAGTCCCAACGCCCATCTGAAGCCAGATGGTTTAGTAGGAACGAACTATTACCCACTGCTCCTGATATTATTGCTGCATATGAACGTGGGTTAACTGAGAATTAATGAATTTTCTGCGATGGAACTCGAAAACCGGGTCGGCAGGAATGCAATAACCCATGCCATATGTCTCGTGGAACTAAGGGACATCAGAGGGCCTACTTGGCCGCCCTCAGGCCAGGCCGAACAAGGGCAGAAAAGGCCATCACGAATTCAGGGCCTGGGCGTGTGACAGTTGACTTTAGTCAAGTGTCGGTCCACCCAACAGTCAAAGTCCGAAGGTACCTAGCCCAGGCCGCAGGTCAAGCACACACACTTGTTTGTATGCAGGTACCCAGACAGCATCAGGTCCAAGGGAGAGGTCTGCAACTGTACAATCCGGGCCTTCAGCTGTGAGTCAATCTGGACGACTGAGGGGAAAAGCACCGAGGCCAGACAGCCTCGCTTATTGGTACTTAAGGCTGGCCTCGAGAGAGTCAATTCATTCAGTCTTGCTATGCTGCTTTGACGCTGGCTCAACTTTGACACGACGCTGGCTTCATGCTGGCTGTGCGCAAGCATTGCCGACGGCGGCACGAGGTGGAGGTAGCATGCTGGCACTTCTTCAGTGCGCCAGGCTACACTGACTTGGCGCTGCCTCTGGTCAACATGGCATGCTGATGTTGCGCTGCCTCTGGTATACGTGGGACTGCCTCTGGTCTACGTGGCATGCTGATGTGGCGCTGCCACTGGTCTACGTGGCATGCTGATGTGGCGCTGCGTCTGTTCTTCATGGCATGCTGATGTGGCGCTGCCTCTGTTCTTCGTGGCATGCTGATGTGGTGCTGCCTCTGTTATATGTGGCGCTGCTACTGGTCTACATTGATGCTGTGACGATTGCCACCTGTTTCGATAGCTGACGTGGCATTGTCCACGCTGTCTACATGAGGTGACTGGTTGCGAGGGAGGAGGAAGATCGGGATCTGTGGTTGAAGGAGAACGGGTACTCACCTGGGATTGAAGTCGTTACTGGAATCTGCAATGTCTTCATGGTCTTCATGAGATCGAGTGCCACGTGGCACTTACGTGTGTGATCAGGAACATACTTATTATCATTGTTGATGTGAACAGGGGAGACGCCCGGAGAAGGAGAGGGTTCAGCAGAGATTATTGTGTGAATCTTCCTCCTCTCCTTTGTCTGTTCCCCCTCCACTCTCTTCTATTGATGATAATGAGTTACTGTTTGATATATTTCTTTACGAATTGGAGACTTTACTGCAGATACTGACTCTACAGGTATGCGACGACTTCTGAGTATCTGTCAGACTGGGTTCATTACACATTATTCAGAACTGAGATTTCTTGTATTTCGACATCTCATGAGTATCTTCCAGACCGGGTTCATTGCATGTTTATCGCTCTCGCTCATATTCCTTGCACAGGGTAGTTGTGGGTGCTATATCCCCTATCTTACAATCTCCTCCTCTTCCTCCATGTTCTGTTTCTTTTCTTCCTCTTCTTCTTCTTCTTCTTTTTCTTCATCTACTTGACAGGCTAGTACCTCCCTATCCTTCCTTCAAATCGTTTTTGCTAAATCTTGTGTCCCTGTGTACGTCTCCTATCCTGGTCTGTTATTCTTGGTGGCTCTCCCTGCCAACTCCCCCTCCCTACCAACCTAGGAAGATTTTGATGCCCAGTCGAGCATGACGTCCAGACTGGTCCACGGGCCAGGTTACCCGGGTGTGAAAAAGAATTGTCTTCTTTTTTTTTTTTTTTTGCATTTACCGTTGTTCTGCGCCTTGCCCAAGGGGGCCAAATCAGGGGTGTTTCTTCTTTTTTTTTGTTGCCGGGTCGGGGGGGGGGGGAGCAGCGAGGCACACACACAGCACACACAGGCTGGTGCAGCAGGCACTGCACACGCTGCTTACAGCAAAGAGCACACGCAGTGGGAGGAGGGAGGTGAAGTGGGAGGAGGAAGGCGATGGAGAAAAGGGGGGCGATGACAGTGGAGGGTGTGATGGTGGAGGAAGTCGATGATGGGATGAAAGAGGCGATGTGGGAGGAGGGAGGTGAAGTTAGAGGAGGGAGATGATGGAGAAAAGGGGGCCGACAGGGGTGGAGGGTGCGATTGTGGAGGAATGTGACGGTGGGATGAGAGAGGCAATGTGGGAGGAGGGAGGCGATGGAGAAAAGGGGGACAATGGAGGTGGAGGGTGCGATGGAGGGGAGAAGAGTGCAGAGCTGGCCCCCCCCTCTCCTTCTGTTTCTCTGTCCCTCCCTCTCCCTCTTTCTCTCCTCGTCACGTTGCAGAGTTCTAGGCTGCCTTCCGATGTCCGTCCCTCTTTGTTTTCTTCCGCCATCACACTATGTGCGGATACGAGGGCTCGCAGGTACTACCAAGAAGAAGAAGAAGAAGAAGAAGAAGAAGGAAAATATGAGGAGGAGGTCGTGTGACCGTCTCTCTTTCTCTCTCTCTCACACACACACACACACACACACACGCACACACACACACACACACCACACACACACACACACACACACACACACA